GGACATTTCGGCGGAATCTTATTCGGTATTGCTAATGAGAGAGGCCATCTTTAGGACAGAGTTAAAAATGGTAAGGGGGCCTTCATTTCGTATGAAAGTGCATGAAGAAGAAATTCGTTGAACGATCTCACCAGATGAGGACGGATGAAAATTACTTTTGGGAAACGAAGCTATATGTAATCCAATTGAAATGTAGGACCTACTCATATCATTGTGGCAAAATTCAACTACCAGACCTTTACTACTTTGTTCCATATGGGGTGTATACAGTTTTTATTTAAGTTAAAGTTCTTATTCAAAAATTGGGGATGACATAAAAGCATATTTGCATAGGCGCATATCAATGAACTTGATTCTGATTAGATTTAGTCAAAAAGACACCTCAGTTGCTAGGTATGGCAAATATGCTCATTGGGTTGTAGAAGTCAGTGTATTCCAGTTAGTCTCAGAAACGATAAAAACAGCTATAAAAACTTGTTTTGTTGCCCTAGCGACAAAGAGATTCGGCCACAAGGATTGCTGCAATGACATACCAAGAAAGTCATGAGATAGATGGAGGGAGCATCGAGAGCCTCGGCCTCTCAGCACCACACAGTAGTCGACCGCCTGCAGCAACAGCCGTACAGACGGGTATCCATAGGCTTCGGAGTCCAAAGGCAGACCGAAGTAAGCCTGAAAGAGGTCGCCCAACTGGGATAATTGTACATAACAGCCAGAATGTCCACAAGCGCTAAAACCGATACCACCAAAGTCGCAACTGGCCTTTCCCGTGGCAACACAGGACGCGGGTTTTGAGGCCAGTCCACCGCCAGTCTCTGATTCACGAATAGCAGTTCTACCGCGTATGAGGCCAGTTGACAGGCTATGCATCAGAATCAGTTGACGCAATTGCAGAGCGAATCGAATAACTGGACGAAACTGCAACCGGACTCCGGGAAAGCTGCCTCCGGGGAGGAGGACTGGCAACCCGTCGGGGTTGGCCAATTGGCCTGAACTCAGCCCTGTCGTGGACGGACAGCAAAAGAGCCCCATTGGTATGTTCATGACTGGCTGACTGGTTCCCGTGAATGTCGGTTCTACGTTCCAGCCGGCAGATCGACAGACCATGTTTGTGCTCATTTTTAGATCGGCCAGAGCCGAATGAGTGGGCAATGCCGAATAGACGATGGTATCTGTATCATTTCTTTCGATTGCCGTGAAGTTGACTCTATCGAGGGAAGCAACCGAATGGGGCATCGGTAACAGGGGAGAAACGTTGGTTGTACAAGCTTCGTAACCTAGCGGCTGCCGCAGAGGTTGGATTGCTGGATCCAGGTGGAAAGCAGACTGTGGTGCTATAAATACAGACGCAGTTGGCGGTGCGGGTACCGAGTGAACGGGTTCCTGCCTACTTACAGCCATTGACGAATAGGAACCGAAAGGTACATTGGGACAAATTGGCATCCTGGGAAAATAATTTGCGCCTATCAGAGTCTCGGATTCCCCATTTGATGAAGGGCCAGAGGATACAACGACCTGAATAGGGTAATAAAGAAAAAAGCAGCAGCTCTAGAAGCCATTCTTTATCATTTTTGCAATCTAATGCTACACCATGAATATTATCAATCCACACATATGCTGAAAAAGAGTATCTCCTGAGAGAAAGACGGATCTCATCGACATAGGCCTTGGTTCAAGAAGGACAATTCACCACTTGTCGATTAACAGTGAAATCAGGCAATGCTGATTGTTCGCGATAACTTTGGCATATTGTTAAGTTTGACCACTCAATAAATGGGTTGATCTCGTTGTCGCAACTTGGTCTTGTTGTCAGGGCGACTTGGTAGAACGCACCTAGTCCGAAGTCGTCTGCCATAGTAGTTGTCATGATTACCAGCACCCGACAGTGGACTTGGTACATTCTCAAACGTTACGACGGCATCCTCAGTGAGTTTTGCCATTCGCAGCACCAAGCTACGAACTGGTCAAAGAGACAGAAAGAGAATTGATAGTTTAACCGTTTTCGGTATAACATTTGTCGAGGGATTGACTTCACTTGTCTATTTGGCGAGTTCGTAGCTTCGTGCGGCTAATGGCAAAACTCACTGATGATGCCGACTAT